AGAAAATTAACTCTATCCCAGCCGAAACCAGGACACTCCTCTTGAAGTAGATCTCTGGGATGGATGTAGTCCATGTTGCAAGGAAGGAGATTATCTTCAGTTCTTTAATTGCTTGGTTTCAGCTGCTGGACGCAGCTAAAATGAGTGCTTAGATCACATCTGAGAAAGAAGTTACATCTCAGGAAGCAAAAATAGAAAACATAGTGCAGGCAATGAGTTAGAAGACTGAGGCAACACTTGCAAAGCAATGAAATATTCATGTGAAAACAGAAATTTTCAGAATGATTAGGGAACCTCTGAGGGGCTGAGCTTCTGTTTTAAGATACATGGTGAAGATGAAAGAATAAAGGAAAATTAACAGTGCAGAAAAAGCTTTTGCCCTCTGTGTAGCTGTTAATTTCTGTCACACCCGCTTTGATACCAGGGGGGTGTTACCATTTCCTACTGCTTTTTAGCTGTTGGATTTGGGTGGGATGGGCCTTTCTAAGTCTGTTAAATTGTTTTTTCAGCCAACTTAAGCACAGCATCAGATAAATATTTCAAAGTGTGTGATTTGCACCAACACCAAGGAAATCAGTCTAGGATTGCGGAGAGACAGAGAGTAATCTGTGATATGTATTTATTTGAACTGGAGCCAAGCAATTCCCCTTAGTTACCTGTGTCTCAGCAGTTTTCTCCTGATAAAATAATTAACATGCAGATAGATGGCTGTTGCCCAGCCATCCTTCATTCTCATTTTTTGGTTTGCATTGTTTATGGCATTGCTTCAAAAGCAATCCTGTAATATCCTTGGCAAATTGATCTATCTTTCTCTCCCCCCTGACTAATGGTCTGTTTTAGCAAGTTCTCTTTCCTTCACTGTGTATGGCCATAATGTGCCTGCAGTGTAAGGCTCTCACAGAATCACAGAGTGGTTGAGGTTGGAAGGGACCCATGGAGGTCATCTGGTCCAAACTCACTGCTCAAGCAGTGCCACCTAGAGCTGGTTGCCCAGGACCATGTCCAGATGGCTGTTGAGTGTCTCCAAGGATGAAGACTCCACAACCTCCCTGGGCAGCCTGTGCCAGTGCTCGGTCACCCTCACAGTGAAAAAGAGTTTCCTGATGTTCAGAGGGAACCTCCTGTGTTTCAGTGTGTGCCCATCACCTCTGGGCATAAGGAATAAGGGAAGCAACGGGCCACAGTTAGCAGCTTTGTGCTACTGCCTTCTGGTCAGGGGAGCAGCTCTAAGACCCAGCAGGAGAGCTGTAAGACCTGAAGAACACTCCCCCGCGTGCCCCGCCTGCGTGAACTGCCGCGCAAACTGACGCGCCACGCCCTCCTGACGCGCCACGCCCTGTTTGCCCACTGAGAACACTCTGCAGTCTCTCTTGTGGGCAGGTAGACTGGCCCCTGTGGCTTGTGCAGTACGCCTGGGTTGAGCTGGCAGGAGTCAGGATGTGCATCGGCAGCCTCAGTTGGCTCCTTAGGACTTCACAGATTTTTTCTGCTGTTACGAGTCTGGTGGTGTATGTGTGTCTGTCCCCGACATGATGGGAGCATCATCTCAGCTCAGAATGCAGAAAAGCCGTGCTACTGCTGCCGTGGGCACACAAACCATGGACACAGCGGGACATAAAATCCTGTAACCAGCAATTGTAGTTTAGCTGTGTAGGGAGACAGCCAAGCAATAACCCTCCCCACCCTGCCCTCCCCCAAAACATAATTTTCTTGTTACAGAGCAGATGAGCTTTTGCTGTAAGCTGTGATGCCCTGTCAGAAGTCAGCTTATTTTCTGGTTATGCTACTGAAAAATTCTCTTGAGACCACATAGCACTAATCATCTTCTATACCTAGAAACCTTACTGTGACCCAGAATAAGATGTGAAACAAAAACACGGAAAGTGTTAACACAGGTTTTCTTTTCCTTTCCTTGTCAACTGCAGGTAATGCAGGTAGTGAAAGAACAGATAATGAGAGCGCTCACTACCAAGCCTAGCTCTCTGGATCAGTTCAAGAGCAAACTTCAGAACCTCAGTTACACAGAAATACTGAAAATACGCCAGTCTGAAAGAATGAACCAGGAAGATTTCCAGTCTCGTCCGATTCTGTAAGTACTGTCTTCTCTCCACTTGTTTTTGCATGGAAGGATTAACAAACATGAATGACATTTGTGAGCTCTTCTGGGGGAACCCAAGGAGGAACGCTGTCCAGGGAGCCGTGCTCAAAAGCAGTAGTGCGGCATCTGCTTGAAGTGCATTATATTTTCTTCTGCTGGGAATCATAATTTTTTCTTTGAGTTCAGTTAAACCAGATTCAGCAAATCCCCACACGGTCTCACATGGCTTATTTGCATGAAACAATGCTTTGACATTTCCTAGCTTTGCATGATTGTGAGCCTGGTTTTGGTGCTGGTAGTGGCTTTAAAAAAAAAAACAAAACTTTGTCTTCTCTCCAAGGGCCTTTAAAAATTCCAAATGTCACTTCTCTGAACAAGACAGGGAGAAGCCCAGAAGAGGAGCCAATACACACTGGCTGCACAAAAGAGTGGTGTTGTGTATGACTGTCTGTGTTTATGGCATTATCTTTGGTGGTAATGACAAGCAGTTACTTATTTGTAAATGATAACATTCCGGTAGCTAGCCAGTGGGATTCTCACTTCCTTGTTGTTTACTGTGAAGTATCGAATGCTAGTATTGCCACCATGGCTCCTTCCTGTTTCTCAGAATACCCTTTGTTCTCTTATATGAAAAATGGGGGCTGTACTTGGCTCTGGACCAAGTCCGGGCTTGTGGCTGAAATGATGGCACAGGACAGATGCAGACTCCATGGCACACAAATGATGTGCTGAGAATAGCAGGAACCTTTTGAGATCAGCAGAGAAATGGTGAGGACTCCAGAAGCATCAGCTGAAATGTCATGCAATCCTGACCATGTTTCAAGTGGAATGGCTCATGATTTTCCAAATCTCCTTTTCAAGGCAAAGTTATAGAGAAGGGTTTGGACCAGAGCGTTTCAAGATTCAGAAGCAGGATGTTCATTTTGATTTGTTTCTAAAGGATACAGATAGCTAAGTACAAGCTCTGGGGACACACTCCTCCAGGGGCAGGAGGGCAACAGCAGAAGCATAAGCTAAGTAGAATTTCACACTTAAATTTTAATCATACCAATGTGGATCAAAGGGGGACTGCTTCTTTTATGTTTTCAGTGTATTAGAAGATAGGACCTAATGCCCAATTAGAACTGATGTCACTCATAGTAACACATCAATTAAAAAGCTACAAATGGTTCCAGTCAGTTTTGCATCATTACACTGCTCAGAAATCCCCTGCCAATCCCCTGCAACGTTTAGTGGTTCAAAGCCACTCAGTACTGCTACGCTTGCCATGAAAGCTTCTCGTTTTCCCTGCCTTCCCTATGAGTCAACTGTTTAAGTATGATACAGGTCAACTATTTATATTCTCTTGCACCATCGCCTAGCCTTGTGAAACTTGCCAGTGCCCTCTGCAAGCTCTTTATTTCCAGTATCGCTCTGGCTAGTTGCTGCCACAGTGTGGAGTCTCCTTCCCCATCATGGAATGAGTAAAATGGTCAGCACAAGTAGTTAAAAGCAACTGAAGTGTTACCAGAGGCTCATTACAGATTCGGGACAAAGGCTAAGCCTAAAGGCTATAAAGGCTAAGTAAATCGATAAGGTGTTTAAGCCATCACAACTGCATTTGCAGAGATTTAACTCTATGCATTTGCATTTTGATTGCATCCATGATCACTTATTCTTGACTGTGAAAAGAAATGGTTCTTTCATTTTCCCCTTTGATTCGATTCCCTGTACTGAACTCTCAAATTGCATAGATGGCACAATTGATAGAAGTACAGAATCATGGCCTCATTGTAGGGAAAGAGACTGTGAGTGAAAAGAGCAATCATGGCTGTGCTGTGTATTTTAAAGCCTTGCAGATATTCTAAAAGAGATTGCACACAATGGTGAATGTAAAGTCGGCAGACCTTGTTTAATTCTGCATGAGAATATGGCAATCAGATGATGTTTTTTCCTGCCTTGAACATGATAGAAGTCTTTCTTCTGCTATTTGTTTTATGAAGCACTGAATTTTTAAGTTTTCAAGCTGCTGGATGAGAAGCTTCAGTTAAGTTGGATTTGAATGTAAGCTGGAAAGTTTTGCCTGAGATCCTTGTAACTACAACTTTGTTTTGCAAGGATTAGTTGTTTCTTTTATGTGAGTATTGTTGTTATCAGGTGAGATGAAGTTTTTTTTCAATTTCTACTTTCGATTAGGGAAAATAAAAAGTCCTTCAGAACAGAATCGATTCAAGATTCTGGGATCTTTATTGACTATGCAAACTGCCATTCCACAATGAATGATAAAGTAACACTGGTTCATTTTGAATGACTGTAGAAGAAGGTGTCTGCCTGTAGAGGACCAGAGATCTCCTTGACACATTAAATGGCAACAGAGATGGGTTAATACTGGCTAAGGATCTGACGTCCAAGTGGAGGCTTGCTGGTTAAAGGAGAGTTAATGTCAGCTAGGGAGCCATTGCTAAGTAACAACTGTTTGAAAATCGGCAACATACAGGGAAATAGAAGGAGGGATGTGGATGGGTTTTGGCTTTTTATCTTACAGATTTCTCTGCAAGGTTAGAAAGAGTCACTAATGCCCACTCTGAATGTGTGAAGTGATTAGGGGAGGGCATAGCTGCAAGCCAGAAAGATAAAAGGACAAAACACATGAAAGCAGTTCTGGGATTACTTTTCTGTTGTGTTATAATGATTTAAATGTCTGTAATATTCCCCATCCTGGAAGGAAAACAGCTAACAAGAGTGAGTCTTAACTATAAGCTGGAAAGGTAAAAGCTGGGGACAGATACAACTGGTGCTGAAGAAGAAGTAGTATCATTTGAATAATTTAAAAATAATTTCTAATGATTTTCAGATTTGCCAACAATTCAGGTCTGTTACTTTAAAAGCAAGTAACTGATGTCAGTATTGCCTACAGTGCTGCGACCAGTGAGATCAGAAAATCAGCAATTATATATATTACTGTGTGGTTCCCTCAACCCTTCTGTGTTACCAACCCACTAACTTTTGCCATTCTTATGTGACAGGAACATAGTAGGAAACTAAGAGCAATTTTTAAAGACGCTGTCCCCTTAGACTTTCCAAGTTTGTTCTCTCTATCTTTGCAAGGCACAAACTGTTAAGCTGATGTCATCTGAAGGACAGTAAATAAAATTTTCACAAAACATGTTTGCATTTATGATCCTCCTTTAGCTCACTGTTCCTGTTTGATTTTAAAATTAGGCAGGAGGACCTATTTCTTGCACAAAGATTTTTTTTTTTTTTTTCTAACCCTCCTGTCTTTAGACACTGACCCTGAGGAACTGAACTCCCTTGCCTTCAGGTGGCTTTCTGAAGGCAATATAAATATTCAAAGCAGCACATCTTTTGTTTAACTCTGTGCTGTCATTTGATTGTTCTGCCCCATTTCTGTCACCTTGAGGTGGTAGAACAGAAACCTTGACAGTGAGGAGCACTAAGTGGCAGGATCACCTTGCAAAAATCTATCTGGAGTCATGGTATCTGAAAAATAGCTGAAAACCACCCAAGTCAGCATAACCATGTGTTGGCATGAGCTGCTGAGGACGGTAAGTGCAGGTGACCATGGCAAGGGATGGATGGACTTACGGGGTGTCACTAAAGTCCAAAGTCACTGAAGACTGTTTCTCCGTGGAGTGATAAGTTGTCTCCACAACCTCTGTGTGTTCAAGTACGGGGACTGTAAAACATAAGAAAGTACCACCTCTGATCTTCACGGCTGTGAGAGCAAATAAATGCACATGTGTAGAGGGACTCCAGCACATCAGCAAAGAGGCGGAAGGTGTCCCTTCTTTCCTACCTCCCTTCCTCCTGCGGGAAGTCTGCCTCAGACAGCAAAGTACTTCAGAGAGGACTACCTGTTCATTTTTGGGTTGGTTGAAACTTCTTCTCTTCCTCTGGTTTGTAAAGGTCAGATGGGGCTTTAGAGGACAGAAGAGGGAATACTATGAGCAGTCAGATGTTAATGTGCTAGGTGATCCATTCATTTTTGGTTTTTTCAGTAGTGTCTTACAACTATGATGTTATGGTATCTTTAACACCTATTTAATGATAACCATCTGATTTCTGAATTAACCTACCTAAATTTCAAACTGATGTTTACACCAGTCTTGAATATTTGAAATCAGTGCAGCTGGAGATTTAGTCTGCAGCCTGGACTGCTGAGTAATCCCCACTGTGTTTTAACACTGTTCTCCTCAGCCCCTACTCCCAGCTCTTACCTGAGGAATGGGGAAGCTCATCAGCTCAGTAAAGGCAAGACATTTATTCAAGCACAGAATTCTTTTAATCACAGTATTTAACCATTCAGCATATTCATCTCTTAGTTCCCAATGAGAAAACAACAGTGCTTGAAAATTATCCTAAAGGGCTAATAATACATTTCCAAAAGGTGGCCTGTTTCTATAGTTACAATGCTTCCTTGATTTTTGGCCAGCTGGATTTTCACAGCTTGTAAATATGCAGTGGGTTATGCATCAAGACCTCCAACCATTTTGTTAATACCTGGGGAAAAGATGGCATTTTTGTTTAAAGGCCTGATCTTTCTAGCAGAGGACTTCCAGTGGTTTCAGTGGGGTCTGGCAGATCAAAGGTATAGGATCCAAATTAATGTGGAAATCAGCAGAGACTGGGCTCCCCAAGTTTTCAGGAAGAGAGAAATTGTTGTTGTCTCTATGGGATACCACAGCTTTGCTTCCGTTTGATGATGATTGCTGGAACATACTGCCAGACAGAATGATTTTTGGTATTACCTAATTTGCACAGCAATGGAAAATTATGGTTCTGACACACTTCATATTTTATAAATCCTCTACACATTCAGTTATTTTTTAATCTTACTAGGCTTGCTGTCGAGTTGATGTTTAAACCTGTCTTTTATGTATTCTTAATGAACCTTAATGAATTCAGACATCTGTGAATCCATGTGATGGTGTATGAAATCAAACTCTAAATATTATGTGCATATGTTTTCTGCCTAGTTCTTGACATGTTGAACTCTTATCAAAGTAGGATGTAGAAAATGGATTTTCTGAAGGATATATAATATTATTTCTAAATGCACTGTGGGTTGCTGCACTCTGGGGCAAGGGTAAAGTTTGATCCTTGAGCAATCCCTAGTCATGGGTTAGTCTTCCACAAAATTCTGATAATGATGAATAAAATTCTGATAATAATTAATTGAATGGCATGGAATTAAGAACAAGCATATAGCACTGGTCATTGTTATAGCCCATTGGCATTGCTCGCTGTTTTTTACCGTCATTTCAAAATGTGTTTTAGCCTTCTTGTGTTGTCCTAAACAATACTGCTAGTAAAGTATACCAGCAGAGGATCATGCAAAAAAAGGTGACAGACCCTCAAATAAGCTTCACAGTGCTCCTACAATGAAAGAGCATTATTTGCCACAGAAAAACCTTGTTGATGAATTATAGCAAACATTATTTTTAGATTAGTAAAGTAAGAAACAAATAAGTGACTTGCCTGAGTCATACACGGATGTCGTAGCAGGGAGATGTCTACAACAGAGATACCCTGACTCCCATTTTTTGTTATAAGAAAAAGGATTTTTTTCTGGAGCAGACTAGATTCTGACCTGGGACTGCCTGTGACTGCTGTCCCCTTCAAACTCCTTGCAGAAACATCTTGTGAGACTGTCTCAGAGGAACAAGGATGGTCTTTGATTGAATTTGACAAGTGCCTACTTTCTTTCTTCCCAAGGGAACTAAAAGAGAAGATTCAGCCTGAGATCTTAGAACTGATCAAGCAGCAGCGTCTCAATCGACTTGTGGAGGGCACCTGCTTTAGGAAACTCAACAGTCGGCGTCGGCAAGGTACAGCTCAGACTGCCTACTCTGGGTTTTTACTGTCACTTTTGTGTAAAAGTTGAGATGAGGAATACTGCTTTTACTGGGAAGATCCTTGATTGTAGTGCTGTCTTGACTGCTTTTACCAGGGGATATCTGAAAGCATCTCCTAGTTACAGTTGTTGTAGGATTTTCTGTGTTTCCCTGGAATTGGTTTTGGCTTCATCACACAGATCATCTGGAACAAGTCCAGCATTTGACAAAAATCTCAAGCAGCAGTCTTGCACTCTGAACTGAGTATTTTGATTTCTGCCTGGATGTCCAGGCTTCTTGTTCATCTCAAAACAAAATCTCTGCCTCTGCAGGAATAGCACATAAAACTTGGTGTAGCCAGAATTTGAATCTCTCAGACTTGGACTGCCTTTATATATGCGATGAGCTCATTCTGCACCCCTCCCTTTAGTACTGCCCGTCCTTGTTTTTTGTCTTGTATTACCATATACATTAAATGTATTATGATGTTTAAATATACTTTTAAAAAGCACTTAGATCAGTAACTTGTGTACCTTCAGATGAATATTTGATTGACATGAGAAGATTATTTTCCCAATCCTATGAGTCATTGCTCAGTGCTAGATTTGCAGCTCATTTTATACAGTCAAACTCTTTATGTTTCTTTTCCCCTCAGAAAGGCACGCTTCTTTCTCCGGACAAAATAACAGGGACATAGTGTAAATTCAGCAGATTAATTAGAAGTTGTATCCAAAAAATTCCCTTTAAACCCTCATTTTGTGAGGATTCAGATTGCCATTTGTTTTCTGCTGTAAATACAATACAAATTAGAAAGTTACAAAAGCTAAGGGTAGAACTGACAAAAATGAATATTTGAGACCTTCAGATCGATTGGGGAAAACTGCTTTCTTCACAGAGAAGTATCCCTGCAATGCCTCTTTCCTTAGAAACAAGGAGGCAATTTTCCTTAATGTAGGGAGGTTATTTTGGAAAATTTCAAAGCCCTTATGAAAGAGTAGAGTTGCAAAAAAATGTGATGCAGCTTTATATCCTCTCTGTCAAGCCTACAAGCACCTATGAAGCCCACTGTAAAGAACATTAATATTCCACTGTGACTTTCTATACGGATTTCATAGGGAGGCATGATACGTATTTTCCCTTCAGCAGCATATTCACAGAGTGAAAGTAGCTAAAGTAATGCATAGTTTGGTTTGGCTATCAGTAGCAAGGGTTGTTTATTTTATTCCTCTCAGAGCCTTAATCCAAATGACTGAAATTCTAGGGAAGGAGCAGGGTTTGTGGCAAATGTTCTTTTGGCAGATCTCCAAGAGGAAGATAGACTATTTATTTTATCTTAAACTGTTGTTAGTTCATGATTTATAGGATCAAAAGCCTCAGGGGGTATAAATTGGTTCAACTTATATGAGTAGAGTTGAAGTTTAAAAAAAATATTTTAAAAAAAGATCAACATAATCTTCTCGTCCACAGTTGAGAATGTTGCTGTGTATGATGCCTTGGAGTTAATTGTATAGGCCACCAGCTTAATTGCTTTGATGTTATATTTATACAGGGCCAAAAAAGTTCACAATTCTTTGGAAACAAATGAAACACACGACCATGCCTCAAAGAACTTCATCTTCTCTGAAATATATTGGCTTTTGTCAGATACAAGCCCATTTAGAAGGGCGTGTTTCCGTATGCCCTTCAGAGTTGTGTCTGCTTTATGTTAGACTCCCTGTATTCCCTGAAAGAGAAGTGTAAAATATCCACCTGGGAGGGAGGGAGAAGACATAACCATTACAGGAGATGATGATGCATGAGACCACCAGGACTAAACTCAGTAAGATCTGACACTGTGCAATCTAATGAAGAAGCAAAGTATGTTTTGTAAACGCAGGCATGTTTGGTGTATAAGCCATTCAATTGGGATCCTTTTTTAGGTGTGTACAGTGCCTGTCACAGCCCAAATAGCAAGTAGTGGCAGCTGGCACAAAGCAGAAGCAGCTCTCTTGAAATCAGCCTTTATCCTTCAGGGTCTCCAGTAACCCAAGCAGAGCAAGCTGTAAGACCAGGGCTGTCATGATGTCAAGAACTAGGAGATGAAGTAGAGTGAATGGAGGACCAGAGGTTTAGCTAGTGATACTAAATATCATGACAGTCAACCTTTCAGACAGTTCCTCTGAATGTCATGATAAAAATAGTACAAGTGCCCTGTGCTATCTGGGAGTTCAGGAGCCCCATCACCTGCCTGCTGCTCCAGCTGAATTCACTTGCCATGGAGCATTACCAAGGCCCTCAAAGGGCCATGGTCCTTCCAGGTTGATAGGGAGCTGAAACAGGAATGGGGAGTGCTGTGAGGCGTCACGATTTGCCTGTTATGTGGCAACCTACTTGTAAGAGTACTAAGATCAGGTAGGTGTTTTACTTTAGTATGTATGCTGCTTCTTTTACCTTTCCTATGATTCTTTTTTTCCCTTGAGACAATCCTGGAACAAATGTCACAAATCTACAGATGGTACAGGAAGAACTTGAACATGTCCTACACAGGAGAAGCTGAGAGCATTAAATTGCCCATTTAAAAAAATAATTAACAGGCATTATCCCATGATAAAGACTCCAGAGCAAACTTCTGTTAAGACTGTTGTTTGAACATGTGGTAGGACACACATGGTTAGTCACAGTAAGTTGAAAAAATTCACTTACAAAAAAAATGAGCAGGGAGTTTACAGCCTCTTACGGCCTTTAGAGAAGAGGTGAAACACTTTCATATATACTTGGCATTCGAAAGCCTCCAATTCAACAGGTGATTCACTGGGGGATGCTGAAGATTAAGCTGTGAGGTATCTGTAGTCAGATCTCTGCCTTTTGTGTTTCAGCACAGGATTGTCATATCAGCAGGATCTCTCTGTAGTCGAAATTCAGAAATATCATTGTTGTCCCAGCAGGATCCTTAGCACTTTCAAAGAACACATGGCCTTTCCCATGCAAGGTTTCATAGGAGAACTGCAGCACTAAGTCCTGCTTTTATTAAGCATTCTTAATCAGTTGGAAATGAAACAGCAAAATCTAGCCTGCCCTTCTGGCCATTGTTTAGCAGCAGATCATGAAGCTCTGCAAATCCCCACTTTGTTTCTTGACCATGGACATCAGCTGACAGATAGACCTCTTCAGCTTTCTCCTTCCTTAGTTAATTCCTAAAAGAAAGGGGCGAAGACTAAAGTGAAAGCCTGCAAAGCACTTTACAACCCCAAAACTTATTATTTCCAGTAGAGCTAAGTAGCAGATAAAGGCATTTTATTGAGGATAATAGATACTTCTGATGCTGTCATCCAGTACATTTGTAGTTTATGTTGCTGGGTGCACTCTTGGGAATAAATTCCCCTTTTAGCTTTATAAAGATTAGAGAGAAATTGTGTGTTATTGAAGTGGTTTTGTAGCCAAAGATGAGGTTTCTTGAGCAGTAATTTTTAGAAGGGAAGGAAAGCCTGGTGATACACACCATTAAATTAAAACCACAAGGCACCATGGAAGTAACCGGGAAAGAGAAAGCTTAAATTAAAACAAAAAATCGTGAAGACAGGTTTTCCATCTCATGCTAGGATAAGTAACTCATGCTTCTGAACAAGAACACACACTTCAGCTTTTTTCTGCCAAGCCTCTTTGCTGCTGCTACTCCATCCCACCCACCATAGTCCCATAAAAAATAATATTCTGCGTGACTTTCTGAGAGGAACCAGTTAACCAAATATGCCTCCAGTATTGCTACAGGTCAAGTAGTCACCAGTCATTTGCTGGGCTTGCTGGCTTTCATCTAAGCAGTTAAGACCAGTTAGAGTGCAATGTGTCACTACAGTTGTATTAGAGACAGACAACACAATGAAAGCAAAAGGGTGAGTCCGCATACAAACATCTAAAATCTACGCAAATACATATGGTTTCACTGATCTATTTAAAAGTGTGTTCCTGTTGCTAAATCCATGAGGAAGATTTTCTGTGAACAAAAAACTTGTTTAGTAATCTGGAACATATCTTGGGATAAAATGTATACTCTCAGACTTGTGTCCGTGCATATCTGCGCTGTTTTCTCCCCAGATTCTAACTACAGAGCGCTTCTGTACTAACCACAGCACTTCGTTACCTGGGATAGCATTGTTAAGGGCATATGAGTCACTGGCCGTTAATGCACTTGGAAACACACTGCGTGAATGGCCAAGCACTCTGTAGCCCATCAGCAAAATGTTCTGTGCCCTACTATTTGCTCACAGTTTTGAATATTACCCTTCTAGCCAAATTGTAGCTGATTTTGTTGTTTGGGATGTTTTTTTTAACCTCATCTATAATCTTTAACAATGTGCTGCAATATATTTAACCCACTGGCTGCTCTAGCAATTATCTGAAAATCAGAACAATTTGTTTGAAACCTTTTCCAGTTAAAAACCAGAATGATTGATTCTGTTTCCCAAAGAAAAATCTCTAGCACCTTAATTTGATTGCATCAGTGGTCAGTAAGCTAAAAGACATAAGGACTCACCAGAAAGTATAAATGATGTAGTGTCAGAAAATTGCGATGAAATGACAAGCCCACATCATCTTTAAAGACTCTGTGGTTAGCGACTGCCCTCCCTACAGCTGCTTGCTCTGAGGAGGCGTTTTACAGAGGCAGGTGTAGTAACACTGGGTACAAAATAAGAGTTGTAGAAGGGGCTTAGGCTTTGGGGCAAATTCATAAGACTGGGCCTAAAACCAAGACAAACTCCACTCCTTCCTGAACAGACAGATGTGCCACTCCAGCTGTGCGCATACACACGGATCTGCCAGCTGTGGAGTACAGGGTCTATTGAGAAATGGCTGACCCATCTTTAAAGCCTCTGTGGCACCTCAACTATGTGGACTTGGGCTTAAGAGCTCTGGAGGGTTTGGACATTAGTTTTTCTTTGTTTTATAGACATCGTTTTCTAATCATGGTAGAAAAGAGCTTTTTCCTTTGCCTTTTGTTGCCTTTTTGTTGTTGTTGTTTATCAGTTTAGAGCTGAAAGTAAATGCTGGCCACTTCCCATGTGCTGTTCTGTAATTAAGGTTTCTTTGCCCTTTTTGTCAGTGGCAGCACTTTCATATAATTTTTGACCGCAGCATTATTCTGTACACTACTTTTCCAATAAAACTGTGTTCAGCACCTGCACTACAGTAAAATAGCATGCATTGCGTTTAAAACAGTTCCCCTCCAAGGCACTGAGATCTCACATAAGTGGGATATTGTCTGATAAACTGTTTGTAACATCATGTACAGCTGGAAAAAACACCCAAACTGGTAAGGCTGGGGTGGTTATAGAAGCAAGGCTTACTTCCCATCACTAACATGCTGATCACCCTCTTCAGCCTGGCCTGTGCAGTCGTTTAGTGGCTGTGGCTGAGGGACCTCGTTAGTTCCATTTGTAGGTTTCATTTAAGGGTTTTCCTCTTGATAGCAAAGCTATGGTGCAATGGCAGTTATTAGTGAGCCCACAGGAGAATCACGTTGGACATGCTTCAAGCTACAGTCTCTGGCTATTAGTTCTTTAATTAACCTTGGGTTATGGGGAACTGATGTAAAAGGCTCCACAAGCCTTCAGAGCTAGGGTTTCTTCCTGTAAAGCCCACCACTTCCTAAAATACAGGTAAAGACATTTTCACTGAGAGGTTTTTCTCTTTTTTATTATTGGAGCAGGGGGTTGAAACAGGAACAAGGTTACCAAAATACTGTAACTGTGAGGAAGTTAAAGAGACCTTTTCCAAGCCCTCACTAACACCACCAGCCCCATTTGTGCTAAACTGAAAGGAATTCATACTATTTTTTTTCAGTTACATCATCTTCTTGGCCGGATTACTGAGAAAGTAGTAAGACCACATTGGCTTTTATTAGGAAAACATGATTGTTGTAATCTTAGAGACAGAAAGGTATATTCCTTTTTACAGTCTCATAAGCAATGGGGTTGCAGTTAAAGCTAGACATGAGAGCCTCCTGCTACAGTTAGTAGGAACGTTTCTTTACGTAGGCAAGGGGCCCGATGGTCTACAGTTAGATTCAACAGGGTATATTTTTTAAGTATCAGGTTTTGAAATGGTCCTGGTAGAGTTCCCTGTAAAGGGTACGAATCCAGAAAAGTTTCACACACATCCTTCTGAGACACACAGACTGCCCAACGAGTTGATTGTGTCTATGCTCTTCAGATGAGTCTACTGAGTGAGGGCTTCTGCTTGCTCTAGTTTCAAATCCATACAGATCTTTGCAAGTGGGTTTTTCCTCTTGACCCCATACTGTGCAACATTATATGTACTGCTTACAGTCCAGGCCTGCTTGTATTTCAGGAGCTCTTTTTGTGTGTGCCACAAAATCATGATCTCAGACTCTCTACCGTAAATCTTCAGTGTTTTACACACCTGTGAAGTAGATAACCAGAATCTCTCCCATTGCCATTTTGAGCCTTTGCCAGTGGTTTGTAAGGTCTTTTGAAACCTTTCTGTAGACGGGGTTACACACTCAGAAAGTGTTTTGAAGTATGTGGGTTTTTTCCCCAAAACATTTTTACCCACCATGACAAAGAAATTTAACAGGGCGTGTGGAAGCCCACTTTTGCCATTCAAGGCTGAATTGCCTTTCTCCATGTTTTATTGCATTGCATTTTGGATGACTGGTTAAGGGATTGGAGAGTGTCCTTTAGAAAGAAGTTGGGACCATGAAGCCAATATTTTACTAACAGAGCCAAGAAGTCCTTCCTTTGCTAACACCTGAAACGAGCTCACATATGCTGGCTCTGGTAGTTGTACAGCTCCTCCGACGTTTTATCTGGACAGTGGTTCCATTCGCTCCTGGCGATGGCAGCACCACGGGGCTGTGTCAGTGCTAACATTTCCTCTAAATTGTCCCTTAGGCTGCTGCTTGGCACAGCATCAGCGCTGCCAGCAACAAGAGAAGCACAGAGGCAGAGAAGCCCTTTGCCCCCTCCACTGGCGTTTTAACATCTAGCCTTGCTCTGAGCATTTGGAGATTTATAGCTTGGATGTAACGAGATTGTATTTTTGACAGCTTAACATTATGTGATCTATTTATTAAATACAAAGTGCTCTGACAAGGAAGAGTAACCTCATTCTTGCCATTTCAGAAAGGGAATTGGCAAGCACCACCCTTACACGCTAGGCAGCATGGTGGCCTGGCTCTGCAAAGCTGATGTTCTTCATGGGAGCAGATTTTAACAAATATTGTTAAGGTGGAATTATACCCTGCAAGGCAGGAGGTGGCAGGAGATGTAAATATACATCTCCTAGGAAGGGCTAAAATGCAAACTGGAGTGGAACTGCATGGTCACATGTATATTTGTGACCATGCAAGGCACTGAGCTATCCACAGGACAAAGGAGTTAACGTCTGCTTTTAAATCTTTGCATGTTTGTTATGTCCAGTCCCTCCATAAATATGGGGGTGTTCTCCCATGTCTATAAAAAGACATGAGTCATAATTTTCATAAAGTATGGGATATTTCAAATGTATCAGTTTTTGGGTGTCCCACACAAGACAGCTGGCAGGGCTTAATTTTCACATAGTGGGTGCTAAAAAGGAAGCTTTTATGGGTACATTAAACTTAGCCACTCAAATCAGTGGTTACTTGGCCAGTCTTCTGGCCATAAGGGTATATAATATCATGTAAAACTAAGTCAACTGTTTCTTGCTAGTATTTATTTTTGGAGCCAGTGACTGAATCAATACAAAAATGGTATATTAATTCCAGCTTCATTTAATCAAGTAAAATTACGAGCAAAGTCCCTGTCCTACTTTCCGTACACCCCACACATTCCTCCTCCTGAAAGAAAAAAGGCAGTCCTTCCCTGTAGTGCCTTGTTTGAGTAAGCTTTCTACTACACTATTGATAATGCTCATGAAGATATGTGAGTGACCTTGTTTAATGCATTTATTTTAACAGACAAATTCTGGTATTGTCGACTTTCACCTAATCACAAGGTCTTGCACTACGGAGACTTGGAAGAAAGTCCCCAGGGAGAAGTCCCCCATGATTCCTTGCAAGATAAATGTAAGTCATGCACAAGGATTGTGCTACTTTTGCTTCTTTTATGCTAATTCCTCTTTATAACTTGTAGTAGGTTTCTCTTAACACAGGACATGATCAACAGCTCTTTTTATGGAGACAGAGAGCAGAGGACATTTCCTTCTGCATTCAAACACCGCTGTCCTGGTTTTGGCAAGCGTGTATGGGGACTGAGCTCAGCTTTGCAATGAGTTTATAATTTCATTCAGCTTAGAAATGTCATGCTTTTCATGGGGAGGAACACAGTTTATTTTCATTGCTCATCTAACTGCAGATGTCAAATAAAAGTACTTGGGCACCTTCAGAAGCATTTCCTGTCCACGGAGACCGATGTTTCTTCTGTGGCAAACAATCTAGTGAGTGAAGGAGAAATCCGTGGCAAGCAGAGGTCTTTTTCATTATCGTGGAGAGTGGACTTAAAGATGACACATTGCTGTGAAGAGTAGTGAGAGGACCTCATGGTTTCTGTGTGCCCAGCTGGGCAAGGACATGCCTTTGTGACAGCTCCTACCAGGGGATTTATCGGGACTTTTTTTTATGGACAAAAGTAATTTTGGAGTCCTTCAGAAAATCATACTCTCATGAACATTTCTTCTTGGTCCTTCAACATGAGTTGTAGATGTTTAACCTGCAGTCCTGGGAAAGTTTTTTGCAATGACTGAGATAATTACCAGTGTAGCTCTGTCACCAGAAAGTGACTCTAAGAAATCAAACATTGAATAAGGAATAATTTCTTTTTGTTCTTTTCTGAACCTCTATTAGTAATAAATGCTATTCTTGGCATTATGAAATTAGACACGCTTGTACAAGTATTCTAGTTGGTAGCTCTACTTCTTTCATGGAATAGCAGAGACTTATTTTTCAGACATTGGAAATTTCTCCAGGCTGAAAATTGAGAAAGGAGAAAATCAGTGATTTAACTTTCCAGTATGTTAGTAAAACAAAGAATTGTTTCTGTTTTCTTCTCCCCCAACCTATCTTTAGGCAGCACCTTTTAAAATTTCTAAATGCTCCCAGACTACATCTGGGAGGGAAAGAGGAAAAGCCTGTCTGGTGCTGGAGCCCTGGCAGTTGGTAGTCACGTTCCCTTGTTTTCATTGCCTTACAGATTGCCTCAAGGATGTTTCACTCTCTTACTGCAGTTTTGGCAGAATGTAGGACGGGGGTTCACATTGCTGCATTGGCACTGGAAGAGGCTGGTTTTTTGGACGAGGCTTAGGGAAATAGCCCTTGAATGTTAACAGTAGCGTGAGAATGACAAAAGAAGAATAAAGGTCACACTTGGACTGCAGGCACAGTTATGAGACCAGCAGTTCCCTGATTTGTTTGCTTTGAGCAAACTTGCACGCTCAAAACCCCTGACCCTGACTGCAAGCTTCATTTGCATTTGCATTTTCTGTAGGCTCTTGAGCCTACTCAGGAATGTCAGAATCCCATGGGGACAGAAGGCTCATACTTTAGGAACCACTGGGCCAGACCCACATGCTCCCGGTGCATGCCTGCTGTCAGAGCAGATACTGATGCAGTTTGAGAAAGGTATGGTTATTTCATCAATATCTCAGGTTTTCAGGCGATGAAGGATATGAGTGCCACCCATATTAGAGTTTAATGAAACAGAGTTGAGAACATTGCAAGATACAAGATTATAAAGTGGCACTATTGTTTGAAACGTGTCAGGCCAAACTGGCTTGGGAATTTTACAGAACATTTTCCAGAAATATTCTTTGTATAGACTTACACTGAATTTTGAACTATTAAGGTCTGAATATGATGACCAGATTGTCAGCATTTGGGAGCAGGTCAACAGATGAAAGAGAATATGTGGGTAAGAAAGTGGAGGACCAAGAGAAGCAGCATAAGGGCATTTTGTGTACTCCTTGCCAAGCTTGAATAACTAGTGTCTATCTCCAAAAATAAGTGTGGGGGCTTTTAACCTTTTCACTTCTGTGAATGTCACCTTTCTTCAGGCTGGCAGAGTTAACAAACTGTGCAGCCTCCAGCTGGAACAGAAAACACCTGCCCTCTTTCTCAGGGCTTTATCCGTTGTGAGCACATCACATCCGTGCTCATACCCTCCAGCATCTTGTAGTCAGCTTCTGATACCATCTGAAGTCTTTGATTCTATTTTTCCAAAGCAAGGAATAGGCCAGGTTCCAGGTAAATAAAGATCAGGATGTCACGTCAGTCTGTGATCTCCCATAGTAACTGCATTCTAGATCACAGAGATCAAGCGTATGAAACCTGGAGAAAAGCCTTCTTGGTTCAGAGATCTAACTTGAGAAAACCCTACCTTACGCAATCAGAGAAATTGTTTTTGTGAGCATCTTCAGCAAATGGCAGGAACACTTTCTTCTTAAGAAGACCTTTCTACCATAGTTGCAGTCAAATACCTCCTTTACTTCCCAGTTTGTCCTAGCTCGCTCTCTCCTCTCAAAAATAATACCTCTTCTTGACCAAAAAGAAGGGTAGTGTCAGAGACATAAAATTCAGCAGGGCCACAGCATGAAATGCTGAGACTAAAGGCAGGAGAGGTTGAATAGTGAAGAGCCAAATAACTTCCATTTCTTTTAGCTTTCCATGCAAAGAAAGTCCTTTAAAAATGTCTATTATATCCCATGCTATCCATTTGACCATAGTGCTGAGGTAATCTGTAATAAAGTACATAGTGTTGCTGTACCCAGTAGAAGAGAAAATGCATTTCTCCTCTCCAGTATTTCCATTAGAGTTTGCAAAGAACTGGGCAGTAACAGACTTTCATATTATGATGCTGTTCTATATATATGATGCCGCAGCCACAAGGATAATGGATTATTTATAGATTGTAGATACTGTCACTCACTGACCATACTGTATTGTGGAGCATATAGATTCTCCATAATGTAATTACTGTTGGAAAATTGACTTCCACTTGAAACTCAGAGAAATTTGTCTTTATGTTTTAGTGGCCTTACTCTGTGAGTGAGTTGGAGTGGCAGCAGCTTCCAATACCTTTTCTCACCTTTTTTTTTTTTTAATGATTTCTGATCACTTCACATTTTAAAGCAATTGGAATGGGTTGTTATAAGCCTTAGTAGTCCTTATTCTTGTTAATACCAGAAAGCAACTAAACTGCTGATGGGAGTGAAATAGAAAACTATTCAAAAAATTCATACAGGCATTAACAAAAGGACAACAGCATTGAGTGAGGTAGGGTCCAACTTGCCCAGCATCCTCTCTCCAGCAGAGACTTTACCTGGATGCCTAGGACAGAGCAACAACAGGGCAGGCATATTACATTAGTAAGGCAGAAAACAGTACACGTTTTCTAGATACATGAGTACACATAAAAACTGCCCAGACACAGATCTATATGAAACACTCTTATCCAAAGTAGTCTCAACGGGCAAGAAAAAGCATGCTCAGATTTTTATCCAGATGCCTGAAATTTTGTCAAGAGTCACTGTTTCCTCTTTTAGTTGTTTTCTTACAATTTTCTTTCTTACAGCAGGCTGGAAATGGCAAAATAGATGGCAATTTTAACACATTAGTCTTGCCTCTTTTTAGACTCTGTAGCTTTTACACACCTTGGTTATAACTCATTTTCTGGTTTTTGCTTTTGTTTCTTTTTAATGCAGTGCCAGTGGCAGATATAAAAGCTGTTGTGACTGGGAAAGACTGCCCTCACATGAAGGAGAAAGGAGCTCTTAAACAAAACAAGGTATGGTTCTCAAATTGTTACAAACACACACCCTGCAGAATACAAAGTTTGTCAACTTGACCTTCCCTGAAGTAATAAACATATTTTTCATTCCAGCCTGCCACCTTTCTATGTATGCACACACACTTTGTTTTCACCTCAGACCATTTGAGTTAAATTATTAGGACAGTGTACACTCCTTTAGTCAGATTTCATGGCAGATGTGCATTGTGATGAGCCCAGAGCACACTAGGATAGTCTTCAGTAGTGGTGTGTTCTACCTCTAAAGCAAAGCAGTTTTGACTGCTGCTACAGAGCAGAGCGGCAATGATTGTTGGTACCTACTCCTATATTGTCTCTGATAAATAACTAGTTTGTTCCAGCTGTATTCTCTGATGAGCTCACATTCAGTGAACACTGGCACGTGCCAAATTTGCAATTAATGTCCAGCTGATGATAACTTCGGGTCCAGTCAGGTAGAAAAACAACTGCCAACAAAAGGATGCTGGGCAATTAATGAGGTGTATAAAGATGTGTTCAGCAATGTGTTTGGGAAAAAATGTGTAGGAGACAATGGTCAGCTTAAATTAGATTTATACTACCTTTCAGAGTTTCAGATCAAGAGCTGTGAACTGACAGTAGGACTCAAATTGTACAGTGCCAGAATCTTGCAGAGTTTTTGTTAGTAAGACTTGCCACTACAGCAAGAAGAAATTGAGTTACTAGCAAAGTCTGACATCTTTGGTAGTGATGGTCTTCATGCCATATTGTATGAGGTATGTTCATTAGTTTTCCATCAGGTCATGCTGTCTGACCTTACAAGAAGGAGTGAGACTCAAATGATGGTCTAGAACGACACTCTGAGGTCTGGGAACCAGATCAGAGGATTTGAATCTGAATTTCTAGTTACCTGAAACTGAGAAATTTTGGGTCCAACTAGAAAGATACTTTGATGGACAAAGTAGTAAAGTTAAGAGTTCCTGCTTCAGCACTTTAAAAATAAAATGCATGTATTTAGTGTTCAAATAAATACCAGAAAAGACAGTTCTGATAGGGACCACAGAAAATGAAAAGGCACTGTCAAAGCTACATCACACAACTGTTGCCGCTTCATAGCTTGCAACCTTTCTTTCCTTAACAATACGCAGATACGCGAAGCATCTTGAGTATTCTTTGTATGTGTTTCTCATACACGAGTTGCTCGAAGTCTATCAGGATACCGTAATCTCCTTTCAGCATTGGCTTTACATGGTAGGAAATGAAAAAGTCAAACCAAGCCAGGAAAAAATCCCAGGAGTATTTATCCTTGTTGATTTTCTGAATCAGGGCACTAACACACACGCACACAATAGATTGCATACAACTCCTACCTCATGTTACAGCGGAACCATCAACAGCATTTGGCTGGGGCATTTATATGATGCATATAAAGTATTTTTAGTGCTTCCTTGTCTTAGCACTCATATGTCCGCACAAAAAGGAGAGATGAGAAGAAGGAAAGCAGTGGGTGGCAGTGATGGAAATGTGTCATCTTTATGGAGCAGTAATGTCTAGATAGTATTTAATGCTAAATAGCAATGCTGCAGATGAGTTTGTCCTCAGCTGTCAGCATCACCCCATTTCCTCAGGTAAAATTGCTTTGGACTGCCATAAAACTGCTGGGTGAGAATGTGAAGATCAGGAGTTGATAGGTAGCATGGCTGCATCCATAGCTGGAGCATTCTATTTGTGATCCTGGCAATTATAATTATGATGTTTTTACTATTTCTGGTGTGGTGGCGGATTTTGGGGTTTGGGTTTTTTTTTCCTTCCTCGATTCTTTGGTTTTTCCCCTGAGAATCACAGAATTTGTGAAAGTAGGTGTCATCCCAATCAAACTGTCCTGCGCAATGTTGCAACTACTTAACTGACATCATAGGAGTAACACATCGTTGTTTATGGAGTACCAGGTTAATGTGGACAATGAAATGAAAATTAAAAAAAAAAAAAAAAGCAGCCAGATGCAGAACACAATTTGGCTGAGTTTGGTGTATGAAACCTTTCACTTCCTGAAACTTCACAATCAGTGATATATTCTTTAAGAGGCCTTTTCATCCTGTGCTTTCTTTGTGCATATATGACAACCACCTTAATGTTTATTCATTGGCAGAAAAGAAAATTGAATGGCAGAATGCCACTGCTATGAACATAGCTAGAATTGGCAGAATGTCTATAACAAAGGCTTCAGCATCTCTTCATTTGCCAGCACATAGCCGTTATTCTTCCAGTGGGACCATTTAGAAATAAATAAGAGTTAAACTGAATTGGAATTTGCATGCATATGGAGCTGGAACAACTTGATAGGACCAGGCCTGAATCCACTGTTGTTCATCTTGCTTGTGTTTTTAAATTAGGTTTAATTTTAAAGCCCTCATTTCTGACTCTTGAGTAATATTAATGACTTTCAAGGAAACGAAATATATTCGATTTTGCAGCCTTCAAAATAAAGCATGAGAGAAGAATTTGGAAAAAACATTGCCATGTATGTCTAAGTGTTCTTCTGTCACCCTTTATTTGCTGATGTGGCAGGCTTCAGGCTTCATGCCTTCTTAGTCAGCAGAAATGGTTCTGCTCACTTCCCTCTTCTGCTGCTTCTCTTCTCTTTTATTTCATGTTGGTTGAACAAGTTCCCTGCTGCTGCATGTATAGGTAGTTGTCTGGGGGGGATCTTCTGGCTCTGGCAAGCAAACTTAACACGGCTGTGGTCTCAACCTTAAGCAAAGACATGGTTGTTTTGAGGCTGTTGACAGAGTAGACAGAGAGTAGTGAGGTCATTCCAGTTGCATGGGATCACTTGGCCACAGGCAGCTAAAATGCCTCTTCATCAAAAATAGCTTGTCTCTGGCCCATGTGAGGGGCCAGCAGAGATTGTGGGAGACAGAAGCTCTGGGTGTGGGAGAGCAAGCTTCCCCTCATAGCACCTGCAACAGCTTTCCCTGCAGAGTTGAAACCAAGGAGTGGGAAGTCTCGGGCCAGCAGGTGCAGAGTTTCTTGTTCCCTGTTTTCAGTGAAGCTCAAAAGAGAAGCATGTCATGGGGTCCCAATGATGTTACCTTTCGCGAGCATCTAGGGAAGGGCAGAGGTCTGAAACGTGCAAGGGTGGAAAGAGTTAGGAGTGTCAAGGGAGTGAGTTCAGCAGATTGAGGTGGGGGAAAGGGGGAGTAAAACAAAGAGGGAAGGAGCAGGTTGGAAGGAATAGGAGAGAAGAAAGAGCAGAGTGCAAGAGAAACTGGTGGAAAAAGCTGGAGGGGAACATAACTTTGAGAAAGGTTGAGAAGTAGGACAGAAGAGGAAGAAGAAAGCCACAGATGGCTGACAGACTGGCCAGTTTTCCTTAGGAGTTGCTGATTCCTCAGAATCACCTGTCATTGATGGGAATGTAACAAAACCAGGTGGGGGAGCCTGGTCAGCCAGCTCAAACATAGAGACCACCATCAGTGTGGAGGGCCGGTTGGCAACTCCAGTTCCTTAGTCTTCCATTTTCCTTGACAGTTTGTTGTGCATGAGGTGACAGAGATGCTGGCACCTGGAAGCTGGAATTCCTGAGCCTTTAGTCTCCAGAGCAGCCAGCAGAGAAGCTGAACTGGACCAGGGCTGCCAAACTCCCACTTTCCCCCATAAAGGGAAGCTTGATCCCCTAAATGTAGCCCTTTCTCATTCTCTGCCTGACTGGGAATGACCAAACCCATGGCCCCCTGGGATATTCCTCTTTCAGGCAGGGCTTTTCTCTCCTTTTCCTTTCTTTGAGATGAACAAAACCTTTAATGCCTTGGAATTTCCCAAAAGACAAATATACAGGAGCCAGACCTATGGGATTGCTGTTGACCTTCATGAAATTCAGGATCATCATAGCAGAGCAGCACAAGCCCCTTTTTCAGTGATACATTTTATTTTCACAACCTCAGTTGCATGACTTGGCATGTTCTGTCAGTGATTTATAACACTCTGTGAGGAGATAACGCCAGGTTTGTGTGGGCAGAGGTAAATTTGTTTCTGTAATGAAGGACATCACTCTTGATAAGGTGTGGCTGAGAGACATGCCTGAAACACGAAAAGGCTATGTGAGCTGTGAGCCATTTGTTTGCTTGAGTGCACCAGCACTATTAGTACCTGCAGCTTCCGGGAGGATTTAGCATAGACTTGTCTCCTGTGGCCTGGCAGTACAGCAAGTTGAACCTAATATCTAAACTCAGGGAAACCCAAGAGCATTTCCCATGAGAAGCCTGATCTCTGATCATCCAAGATTATCCCTAAGGATTGCAAGTTTAATGAATCAGACTCTGCTTGTAATCACACAAGTTCAAAAATGAAATAACCCTTACTGAAATCCCAAGACCTACATCTGTTTCAGACCAGGAGATCAGGGGTAGAAATGATCTACATAGAGCAATGTATATGCTGCAGTCCCCACAGTCAATTTTTCCATTTTAAAACTTAGTGTAGCAAATTTAAGAGGCCATGCTCTTGTCACTGCTGGCAGTGTAGGAACTGTCGTCAGCTGAGAGTCAGCAAAGGCGATCAGTATTATGGGGCTCAGGAAGCCAAGAGGCAAAAAGAACAGGACGTATGATACAGATCAAAGTAGTTACGAGTCAGCACTCTTCTGTCTAGCTGGGTCTTTTTTCCACAGAGTTATTATATCCATATCAGCTATCTTACAGGTTGTTAAATGCTTGTAATGGTGCTTGTAGTGGTGTGTGCAGTAACCATGATAACACAACATCTTTATGTGCTCACTGCTGGCCAGTGGAAGTTCATTATTTATTCAAATTGGATGGGTTTTCCCATAGGAACCCAGGTCCAGGTAACTTTTAGGGAAAGTCAATGCTTAATTAATTCACTTTGGCACCTTTGCAATTCCAGCTTCAGTGCTGAGGGGAAAAAAGATTATCGTTTTTCCTTTCCCAAGATCCATTTGGGTCTTTATGACTAAGTAACCCAGATAGTTCAGTTTGACTGAGACTGCTGATTCTGGTTCAGGTAGAGACAAAATGACAGAAACCTCTTGAGAATGAATAATTTAATAGCTTTCCAGCAGCGAAAAGAGCATAAGTATATACCAGGAGATTAACTGTCCTGACAAGATTTTTGACACAGGGAATCAAACCTTGCAGAACTTTGCAAGTTTAATCTATACAAATTGAAGTAACTGTGGGTCTTCATGAAGAGTTTGTTGCAAGTGTACTATTACGGGTTATATTGATTTTAGTCCTCGCCATTGCCTAGCTCAAATCTAAACTCAAATGTTAAAGTAATCCATGACTGAGTGAGCTACAGTCAGCACTGAGGGGGGGTGAGTTTGTTTTGACTGAAGCATCTGTGCTGGGGTTCTTGCTGTTGCAGTGGTCTGGTACTGCTGCAGCTTTGGCCAGGCAGGAGAGTACCATAACCTATTTTTCCGTTTGTTTTGGGGAATAAGTAGTAGGAAGGAAAGACAGACCTGACTGTATTAATGCCTCTCTCAATGCAGCATTAATATACATTTCTTTGTATTCCAGGAGGTGCTAGAGCTTGCGTTCTCTATATTGTATGACTCAAGTGGCCAGCTGAATTTCATTGCTCCAGACAAGCATGAGGTAAGCCAAATTCAGAGTACAGAAACTTCTTTGGAGCCCTCTTAGTTGCTTAATGGCAGCAGCCAGCTTTATAAGAACATAAGAACGGTCATCCTGGCACAGAGTGCAGGTCTATCTAAACCTGTGTCATGTCTCACAACAAACTGAAAGCAGAGGGATTAATGTGGCAGCAAGATCTTCTGCAATTTTCATGCATATCCTGAGCCACAGAAAGAACATGTTTTGTAGTTGTAGATCACAGAGCACATGGGGGTCCAAGTTCAAGATCAGCATTTCTAAGCCCTACTGAAATATGAACCATAACTAAGAGAAAGAAGAAAGCTTGGGCAGACCTCACAGTTTCCACAGACCTTGCTCACCATTTCCTGGTGTAGTAAAGACTTCTCCTGGTCTGGTCTACCCTGGAGGATTTTTGCTGTGTGTTCACTTCAGTGAACTTTAGTTCAACAGCGAAGATTGTACAGCCAAGCTCTTAAAGAATCACTACCATCCTCAGCTCATCTTGATGATGCTAATATAATCAGGGGAAGTTATGCCATTGTTGAGTCTCAATTTCAGCCAAAGACTTGTGTTCTGCAGACTAGCATATCCACTTATTCTTAGTTTCATATTGCTTAAAACCATTTATGATAGGTGATCATAGAAGGTCCTCTCCATTGCACCTCCATAGGCGGTTGTTTTGCAATGGGTCTCGCCTATATGAAGACTGTAAATACCAATAGAAAAGCAGAATGACAGCCTCCCCCTGCTTCCTTGTCTTACTTGAAAACACCAGGAAATAGACAACATCATTGCCTTTTGGAAGGTGATGGAACCTAATTATGCGGAAACATTGGATGTCTTTCTCTCAAAGAACTTCCAAGTAAAGATTTAGTGCAGAATGCACTGTAGTAAAAAATAAAGAAGGAAAAAAGTTTTTCCTTCTTATTTCTAAAGCAACAAGAGTTGGTGTTCCATTTGCACCCTTATTTTGTGGTATCACATTTGGTCTCAGTTCAGGACACTGTGTTAAGATGATGAAACACAGAAGACTGCATTAAGCTGCGTTATACTGTAGTGTTATTAAAGTGCATGAAATTGCATTACAAGTGAAGTGTACTTAGTTACACAGCTTCAACATTTGCAATTCTGGATTAAAACCTTCAAATAAATGTTCATTTTAGGAGAGGAAATTAAGTTATGCCCATTTGGGTTTTCCTGGGGATTAATATTTGAGTGTCATTTTCAAGTACATTCATTCCAGAGAAATATTTGCTGGTCAATTTTGATCTAAGAGAAAGCAGCGATAGGATCCCAGGCATAACATGCCATTAGAGCTGTAGGTCTAAGGAAAATGTGATTGTCTTCATCCTCTGAATTGAACATATGTTAGATGCTTTCTGATATAAGTTCTCCAGAAACTGAATTCTAGTCTGTTTCAGCTCATAAGAGCAAATGGTCATGAAAATCGACAAATTTTTCAGCCACTTGTGTCTCAAATATAGCCTATGGCTACAAGTGTATTTTAATTGTCTACATATTCAGAAACTGCTATTGCACCCCACTGACAGGCAGTAGCATTGTGAGATGTGCTAACCCAATTGCTCTTGATTGTGGTAACACAGCTATTATCTTTATTTCTCTTTTTGACCTTGTGCAGCTTCTTAGAAACAAAATTAATATGTTTAAAAAAACGGCCAGAGGCAGCAGTCTCTGCTACTACTTGACAGTTCCCAAGTGAATGTTTTTCAAAAGGGCATCTCACTCCATCTGTACTTTTCCATGGCCTAGAGAAGAGTGACTTGTAATTAAAGCAAAAAGTGCAAATGTTCAGAGGAAGCACCCACAAGGAAAGGCAAGTAGCATCTTATGAAGCCCATGACTCTTCATCAGAGTAACTGGGTGCTTGTCAATAGAAGTGCTAGTTTAGCAGCGTTGTCAGCTTGGGAGATTTGGTGGGTGACATCTTCAGATTTAGAAGCTTTCTGTGAAGCACCAGGAACGACGGTATTACATGACAATTTCAGGTCAGACTTACAGGCTTTTTTCAAGCACTTCTACAGTTCTCATGATTGTAGAGGGAGGTCTGAATGTAGGAATTGAGTGTGTCCTAAAAACAAAAAGTGAACGAGGATCATAGGATGAGTCAGGTTGTAAGGGACCTTGGTGGTGTCCCCGGTCCAACCTCCTGCTCAAAGGAGGTCAGCGATGAGCTCAGACCAGGTTGCTCGGGGCTGCATCCAGATGATTGAAGCCTGCACAACCCTTCTGTTTGTCTGGTTCCACTGACTTGACTCCAAAGGTATTTCTTTAATAAAATCTCATTACTGAACCAATATCATTGAGATTTGGACCTCATTCTTACACACTGAAGTTTGGCAATACCCTTAGCCATCTGTTGGAGCTTACTGCTAGGCAGAGGATTCAGCACTGTGAGATCACTCCATCGTGTTTGTTTTTCATTTAAATACTAATAGCTGGTTTCAGCTACATAGCAAAAAGGTGGATTAATCTTATCCTTGATTTTTGACAGAGAAACTGATGAGGGAGGCTATAATTAGGTTTCATTGGAGTTTTATGAAAATGAATCTGCAGTAAATTAATTTTTCAGTGGCTCTTAGTCTGTTTTGCATATTAAAAAGCAAAAAGCATCTGAATGAATGCCTCTGTTTTTCAACCATCTCATTAGGATTTCTCTCTGCTCAAAATGTACAGGAGTTTAATTAGATGCACTTGCCAATATGGAGATTAGAGAGGAAGCCCCTTTTCCAGGCCATTGCACTCATCTGAATCGTGGCCAGAATTTGCTTTCTGTGGGCCCTGAATGAGTTATATCTGGAAGAGGAGAGAAATGCAGTTCTCCTTTCTGGCTCGCTGGGATTCCTCCCCAGAGAAAGCGCTGGCCATACTCACTGAGCAGGTGATGGACGATTTACGTCAGGGGCTGCATCTGTTGAATGGATGCTCTGCGCTTCTGTAACCTGAGCAGAGCCTTTTGCCTTTCTGTTCCCTTCCTCGAAGTGAATTCTGGGAGAACTTTCCCAAAGAAAGCTTTCAAGTCTATCATAAAAAAATAGAGTCTGTTCAAAACTGACTTCATTTCTAGGATAGCTTCTGTCTTTACTGGATGTTCTGCATACACTCCACAAAAATTGCATTCTTTAGAAGTCTTTGGTGACACTCTTTGAGAGCCTAGAATAGGCAGGCTAAGTTGTTTCTTTAGTACTTGTTAGCAGGACAGCCTAAACCCTAAAGTCTCTCTATATAGCTAATCTCATATTAAAGCTGTGGCTTGGCTTACCAACACCCTGGGTGAAATCCTAGCTCTGCTACTGACTTAAACGGGTCGGATTTCACTTCGGATGTTGAAGCGTGTTAACCATCCTGTTTTTAAAATACGCCCTTTTTCTGGATGAAGACATACCCTGAGAGGGGGTTTTCTCTTTCTTCCTTAAATATAATCCTTATTTCTGCTGTAGGATGAAGCCAACCATGGCTATCTTTAAATTTGGCGGTATCATGTAGCAAATGGTCAGCTAAATTTAAAATCCATTTTTTGGCATGAAATCTAGCAGAAGTATTTGTAAGATAAAAATGCAGTTACAGTTGATATAATTTTCTCCCGCAAACTAGGACACAAGTTCATGATTGAAATCTTTATTTTTAGATTATAGCCTTTGAGTACTTCTGTTCATAGTTGAATAAGTGGCTTGTAGTAATAAATGGAAGCAACTTATTTGATAGAAGTTGACTCTAGATCACCAATCTCCCTTGGGTTTGTTCCTTATTTACAATGGTTATTCAGCCCATGTTTATCTCAAGCTGTCAGCTGTTGAGAAAGATGGCATCTCCTATTAGGAAAAAGCTAACAATAAGGGGGTTTAGAGGCCAGTTCAGCATTTGTGGCATTTAGAATTACACCAGGTAGCTTGGCATTTAATTTTCATGAAAGACACAGAATTGATTGACTCTGTAGTTTTCACAATATGTTATTCCATGTAAAACAGTGGTAAAGTAGGCATAGATATGTGAGAGCCTATCTTTGTGTAGGTCAATTGATACCACTTAATCTATAGGAAAGCAAACCACGATAAAATTAGATGGTTGATACAGGATTTCTTACACAAAGAGTCAAGAAGGATTTTGTGTGGGATTCAGTTTACCTAACTTAGCTGTCTTGGAATTAAAAGTTCGGTGTAAGATAATCAGGCTCTTTCTGTAAGTATTGGGGAAAGAGAAAGAGGGGGAGAAGGAGATACCTCCAGAGGTTCATTGTCCTAAGTTAGGTATTCTACCTTCTCCTGTAACTATTGAAGAATATTCAACAAGAGGTTTGGAGGAGATACCTAGCTATCAAACAACTAAATGTTGCAGTTTCTTCCCATTTTGAGGGAATTGTTTGTCCATGTTCTGAGCCATTCAGTGGAACATGCCATCTTCATGATACGAGCTAACAAAATGAATCAACCTCATTTTAGGTCTCTTCGTAAGTCCCTGTGGGAGCAGTAACTGTAGAGGACCAGGACAGACAAGCAGTTTGTGTACGGAAAGCCTATTAATGATAGTTTTTATCTTTTCCTGTGCAGTATTGTGTATGGACCGATGGGCTGAACGCCCTTCTTGGGAAGGATATGTTGAGTGATCTAACACGGAATGACTTAGACACGCTGCTCAGCATGGAGATAAAGCTACGCCTCCTTGACTTGGAAAACATACAGATCCCAGATGCTCCCCCACCTATCCCAAAGGAGCCCAGCAACTACGACTTTGTTTATGACTGTAACTGAGGCTGCCACTGAAACTTGCTTCGAAACTGGAAATAGCATAACTGGAGAGATATTAAAAAAAAAAAAAAAGAAGAGTGTGAGGAAAAAAGAAACCCACTTGTGCACCTTGGATTTTGGCTTTGGGGAGGGGTGTAGAAACACTTGCATTCCTCCCTGTTCCCTGCATCCCTTCCTTCCCCATTCCCATCTTCCCCATTGCTCATCCAAATCCACATTGCTTTAATTAACTTGTAATTGCAGGCCGTTGGCCTTGCTTAAGGCAAAGACTGCCACTAAGAAGCACCCTCCCGAGGACTTTTTTTACATTTTTAATACTGGAATAGACGTTCCTAACTAAAGGACGATGTTATCAAACTGCATGCCTGTGAAACCCACTTGGCGAGGCAGAGGCTTTAACTGGAAGGAGGAGGGAGGTAGGGAGCAGAAGCAGCTACTGTAAGCAGAAGATTTCCCCAGACACTCCCAAGAGTCTGCTCACAACTGAATCCAATGCGATGATGAAAATCGTTAACTGCTTCCCAGTGCTTGCACCATTCCTCACTGTCATTATTCTTTCCACTGCATCTCGACTCTTGCCACCAGCCTTCACCCAACTGATCGGCTCCCAGAATGGAAAGTCTGCAGGTTTTTGCTGTACCATACGCTGCAATGCTACAACAGCTTTTAACTTCTTTTTCTCCCAGCTCTTAAATAGCCCCACACTAGCAGATCACTCGCACAAACTGTGTATTGAGCCACTAGTATGTCCCATCCCTGTAGCGTTCCCTAAGCCTCAGTTGCCTCTAAAATTGGCTTGTTGCTATTCAAAGTGATTTTTATTTTCTTGGTCCAAAGTTCAACAGTAATTTTCACAGATCAATTACAACTGCCAAACATCCAGGTTTACATTGTTGTCATTGCTACAGTGTTATGAATTTTTTTTGTACGGGTTCTAATTTTTTTATTTTATTTTGGCAAACAAATATATTTAATGAAAACTAATTTCATTGTGAGTACTTTTGGGGGACAATATTTTTACTTAATTTCCATTTGAAACATTTGCACTGAAGGGAAAAAATAGTATTTCCCTTCAGCTTCACTGTTGAATAAAAATCCAAGTTGTGATGATTCTTGGAACTTTGTTTTTCTTCTGAGGTTGTCTTTTATTCTTATGGTTCCTAGCAATTCTGAAGCATTTGGTACAAATTGGAGAGGGAAAAGTGAAACTTTTCTTGTCTGCATCTGATTCAATTTCCTTGTTTGTTTGTCTGTGGTGACAAGGATGAGATGCATCCAGAGATCTCCATTGCCATGGGTACATGAGCCTTCCTGTGAGAAGGACCCTTTGTGAAATCCGAAATCACAGCATACTGATATGCTCATGGTCAGTTTAAGGCTGCTGCCTTTACCATGTTTGCTGGAATAACTGTGTTCCTGTATTTACATTTCCTCCATCAAGAGTGTTTCTGGCTGCAGCAGACTGGTACTGGGGAAGTTTGGGCTTTGCAGGATGGATTCCCTCCCTCCTCATGTTCTTCTAGGTATTTCACTAAGTTCAATATCTCTTACTCCAAAAGCGCTGGGTCTAGATCTAGAGGAACCTGGCAGCCCTTTCCCTCCCACCACACAGGCTGAAGACAGATGTTTGTTTGTGTGCGTTCCTCTCCTGCTCAGACCCAGCTAAAAAAGACTGTCAAGGGGTTTTATCAGAGCTTGCGCTAGTGAGAAACCTAGAGGGTGGTTCCAGTTTAGACAGACGCAGAAGACCTCAACTGAGGTGACCTTTGCTCCATCCAGCCGGCCCTGGGGCAAACATCCTGACTGATCTCACACCAGGTGAGGAGAGAAATGACGTCCTGCAGGTGCAACGAAAAGGAGGATGAGGAGAATGTTGTATGAATTCAAGCATGAGGGTCCTAAGGAAGGTGCTTTTCTGAAGGTGTGTGTACAGTATTTCATGAATGCCTTGGTCTAACAAGGAGACCTAAGTTGGTTTAGGTGGTGATGGATGGTAAAGGAAAAAAGAGTCTCTGAGTTAAACACTGGAGTGGGAAGTTACAGTGGACTGTGGCCTGAGAGAGGATTCAGTCTGAATGAGAACAGACACGTGCAACGTGAGATGCGGGAGTTTGAGATGTTTTATTCTCTGGAGCCTTGTCAGACTATAGCAAAAGGTAGTCAGGGGTCAGGAATGAGTGGAAGCAAAGGTACTGCCTGCCACAGGGGATTTTGGAGGGGTCCTGGAGGTGGGGGCTGGAGGTAGGAACACATTTCTTTACAAGATGCTGATGCTGCCTCTTGTCTGTGTGAAGACAAGACTCGGAGCAGAACAGAGAATCTGAGTTGTTTTATTAATCTCCCTGACCCAGCTGGATGGCTTGGCTGTGCATAACCTTTGCTTTTTATTTACAGACTGCAGAGCTGGTGCTTCAGATGGGTATTGCTCGTTGTCAAAAGAAACACCTTTCACTCCTGACCGATAAGAGCCAAATGCTGCTGGCTCGGTGGCAATCCGATGCCATAATCTTAGCAGGTAGGCGTCTGCGTGACAATCAGAAAGGAGCAAACAAAAACCCTCCTCCGGCGGAAAACTTGAGCAGGAGGAAGAGGTTAGACTTGCCTCCCCCGCTAAGGTCAGTGCCCCAGACTGCACAGCAAGAGCCCAGGGGAGGTGGTGGGAGAAGAGCTGGCAACCCAGCCTTCAGTTTCCTCTCTCCTGCCCTGGGACTCTGCAGGGTGGGCACAGTCTGACCAGGGGGTCCAGGTCCGGTGCCGGCTGGATGCCGTGGCACTGCTGCGTGGCTCTAGCTCACCATCTCCTGCAGCCCTGCGTTATAGGAGCCCCATATCCTCGCGTGGCCCAGCTCTTTGTATGGGTTATGCATTGTGTGGGCCAGTCACGTGAGCAGGCGTGCTAAATTTGTCACCCCCCAGGTGTCCCACCCTGCCATAAGAAAGAAGAGGCTCGAGAGATGCGTTGGCGTAATAGCCCATGCAGCTATTTTAAAAGCGCTCCCACAGCAACGCGAAGGGCCGTGATGCAAACAAGGATCCTGCCTTCAGTTTCTAGAGCTGTCATACGGGCTCACTTCACCATTATGAAATTTAAAAAAAAAAGTTTAATGATGAACGAGTATCCCGCTGCTTCCCATTCATTTAAAAAAAAATTAGAATGAAAATGGCAAATTCATTTGCTCATGCTGTTGTGTGTTCCGGAAAAGCTTTTAAGGCTTCATATTCAAGGAGCTGCAGCAGGAAAAAAATTTGCTATTGAAGTTTCTTGTATAATTTCAAAACATTAAGTGGGTAATTGCTTGTAAAAGCCATAAAGGGGAGAGAGAACAAAAAAAAAAAATCAGTCTAATTTTAGCTCCTGTTTTTGAAATGACTTTGCTTTCAAAACTAAATATATTCTTTTATCAGAAAACTTGAATCAAGAAAAATATGTATCTTCTTAAGTCAACTGTTTGCCCTGCTTGTAAGGACAAGAGCAGCAGTGCTAAGTAATCCTGCACAAAAGCAAGCTCTATGTCAGAGAAAGAGCTTGCACTCTCTGGGCTTTCATTACTGCTTTTCAGAAGCAATTCATTTTTCAGAATGGAGAACTCTTTTATTAAACCTTACAACGTGCAGGGAAAAATAACATTCTCTTGCAAGGAGGCAGGTAGGTGATGACTGTCTTCTGGGTTGCAAAATGACCGTGCAAGATCCTGATTACTTTATTTGCTAAATCCTCTCATGTCTTCATGCCCTATCCAGGATTGCATTTTGCTTGCCCAGGGCGCTTGTTACCAAGGCCATTTCTCCTCCCGTCAGTAGTCCCTGGTAATGCAGACGTGTCACATGTTTACAAGAATGTGAAGGCTTGTACGGAAATCTGGTGGGATCCACTGCCTGGAACAAATCCCTCTTCTCTGGCAGACGGCTGAGCTGCAAGGGAGCCCTGAATACCCACAGCAGCCCTGTAGCCCACCAGCTGTGATCGTGCAGGCTCTGGCCACTGAACAGCTCTTAAAAGAGGGAGGGATGAAAGGGAGGAGAAGCAAAACCCCCTCCTAGCAGGGGGAGACAGGGAGAGAGGGGCATGGGCATGAAACGCCCCTGAACGCCAGTCTGCTTTTTGGTTGCTTGTCATCGCGTTGGACTGCAATGATCAGAGGTGGCTCTGATGCATCCAGCTCTACAGCAGTGCAAGCTGTTAATCCTGAGCAATAACCAGCAACGGAAGACGTTGGGACTAGGAGGACACTGTCGTTCTGCCATATCCCCCCCCTTTCTCTCTTTTGTTGCTGCTGCTGTACTGACAAGTAAATGCCATTAGCTTCACTGTCATGTGAAAGTCGTTCATCTAAGGAGCATAGCAAGATGAATGTGAGATTTTACCCCCTTCTTATTTCATTCCTCTTGAGAGTTTAAAAAAAAAAAAAAAATCTAGCCCTTAAATCTAGCCCTTACTGACCTCGGGATATTTTAGCTGTCAGAAACAAGGCTGGAATACTAAGCATCTGACATAAAAAAAGAGCCCTTCCCCTTACAGCAGCATCAAGGAGCTGCAAGTGGAAAGGATTTCCCACAACCTCTGCGTACTGCTGAGGATAAAATCCCTGCAAACTCTGGAAGACATTCGTAGGACAGAGTTTTTGTCACTTACTGCTGGCTGAGCTGTCATTGCTTTCCCCAGAGCTTGCTAAATCAGGACAAGACTTACTCCGTGCTCCCTCCCTCACTAGATGATAATTATATTCGAATATTAAGCATCCACATGGCTTACACAAGTTCCCTGATTAACAAAGCACTTACCCATGCAGCAAAAGAGGCTTGATTTCAGTTTGATAAACAGGCACCTAAATTTAGGTGGGTGCCCATGGACCTGGCTGGATCAGGGCCTGTGTGAGCAGAAAGGCAGTTTTATCTGTTACTGAGTTTTTGCCACATGCTTGGAGGCAATGCAAGTAATGACTTTTCCGTGTGATGTGTAATTGGATTGGGTACCACTGGTTACTTCAGGAGGTTGAACAAGATGCTGCCTGATTATTCAACATCACTCCAGCGGCTTCACGCGTCTCTGGGACTTACGCAGAGGTAAAAGTATTGAAAAGGGAGACCCCTTTCTGTATTAAATCAGGCTGAAACTTGAGAGGGGAGTGGTGTCAAAAGCACAAGGTTTTTAGGGCACGATCAGGTGTAAAATGGATGTTGGAAGAGCCATGAATTTTTATAGCAAGGTGATTTCAAAGTGCTGATTCAGGGAACACTGTCCTGCGGCAGCCCCACAAGGGCAAGGTTAAAAGAACTGGAGACAGTTTTGAACTCATTTAGTAGCATATATTTACATTTTATTTTCACTTCTAGCTGGGAGGCCTTGAAGGTCTCTGAAGAGCAGAGCAGGTCTGACGATGCTTAGCTTGCGGGAACACACGTAGGGCAAAGGAAACATTTCATTAGCTGTTCTTCTCCAAGTGGGGAGATTGCTATTGGAAATAGAAGAGTTTTCTGAACTGATGTGTTCTTTCAACAGAGAATTTCTCAGCTTTACCGTAGCCACCTCACTGGAGGTGTTATGTGGAGATCAGTAGCTGTTGTGGTTTTATGCTGTCTTGGAAGAGCCAAACAAGCCCCCTCACATTGGGAGCCTCACCCAAACCCTCTCTCTTCCTATTTTCCTCTTGTTATAGGACCATTTCCTATAAGACGCAACCTATGGGACAGTCATGAAGCTGGGGGACCCGGTGCTGCCTGTCCCAAGCAGGAGGCTGGCCTTGAGTTTCATCCCGGGGAGGGTATGGCCGCAAAACAGCAGTGCACATAGAGGGTGGGAGGGAAAAGAGACACTTAATATAATTTTGCCAAGGGATGCAGCCAAGGGCAGGCTTTCTTTCCTGTGACACTTAAGGATGTGTCTTGAATGACTTTATTTCAATTGTCATTAGAGGATTTTGCAGCCTGATTGAGCACCGCAGTTAAATTCTCCCTTGATGAAACCTCGTGAGTCTAATTTTAATCTCGTAGGCAACATGGTGTTCAGCCTAAACTGATTATGTCTTGGGACTCCTCTGGGTTGTCATGAGGGGGAGGGAGGCTGGTTGTCTTTTGCTTAATAAAAGGCAGTGGGTTTTTTATGAGGTGTGTC